AGGATGTGCATTTGAACCCCAAATAATCTATCAACGATTGCATATAGAGAAACTATGCATGAAATGTCAAATAATCCATCAACAGTTGCATATCGCGAAGATATGCATGAATAAACAAGTCGAGTTACATATATTAACATATAGAGAAGATATGTACCGTGAATCATTTTACCAAGTAAAGGCGCATACGGAGAAGATATGCATAAAAGACATGTATACATTCTGGAGCTAGCATATATATAAGATATTTAGTAGAAATCATGTACACATTCTAGAGCTAGCATATATAGAAGATATTTAGTAGAAATCATGTATACATTCAAGGAGTTTGAAAATAAAGAAGAGATGCAAAGTCCAACTACTGATCAGTTTTTCATAATCTATATCAATCAGATACCCATCGGCTTCTCACAACTTGTGTTTACACTATCAAGAGAGAAACATGAGAGGGTGACTCTAGGAGGATGGATCCTTATCCACACACAACACAGACAACTCACGTGCCATAATAAATCAACCCATATGGATCACTCACGTGCTGTCAATCCATTCCATTACATGGAAAGCCTATACAAGAATACATATATACAAATAACATATATCAAATCACATACTTATAGACTGAGAAAAATAGCATGCTAAGGTGTATGTATGTGCAAAGTGTACAACTACAGCTTAGATCAGGCGGATACACCGTATAATAGTAAAAATCATGCTCAAACAGGGAATCAACACCTACACATGATCTCTAGCATGATTCAAGAGATTCACGTAATCGTACAAACACTATAAGCATGATAGAAGGAAGCACAGTATCTGAAACAAGGCATGGTATAGCCTAAGGACTACTCCGCTCATAAATTATGCATGGCATCGTATACACGCTCGTCTCCTCGCATATACGTCGCTTCTCACACATTCCAGCTAGACAAATAAGGTTATTTCCTCAAAATAATTAGGAAAGATACTTATCTCATTCGGGTTAGCCTTCAACCTTAAATTGCGTAAAAACCTCGCTCTAGCGCTTCAATCACGCAAATTCGAGCCAATCATCAACCAAGAAATTAAAATAATATTATAGGAAGCAATCACAATCCATAAAGCTTCGATCTTTGAAACTTTTTTAAAAAGTCAAGAAAATCAATCCGGGTCTGCGTGCATGTATCCGAAACCAATACTAAATCTTGATGACCTATAACCTGCCGAATCCAAATATGATATTAGATTCCAAATTTGAGTTCAAATCGGTACCCAAATCTCCAAAATACACTCTCTTAAAGCGTAGGTAAAAACCCCAAATTGTTCTTCAAAATTTCATGTTCTTAGTGTATAAATCCATGGGGAAACAAGATATATAATTAAATCCAAGTAAAAATTATGTACCCACAAAGTAGTAGTGACAATATTCTCCAATTCACCTCTTACCGAGCTCCAAAACTCAAGAATGAACAAACCCTCAAAATATAACATGTTGTCAAGCACTGTAGCACCTTCAACAGAACCCTCCGCTTCATTGAAATCGCATATGCAGCCAAACATCTTGCTTCTGCGAGCTACCTCACTTCATCCTTCCATCGCTTCTGTGAGACATATTCTGCGTCTGTGAAGTCATAGGTGCGACCTACCCCTGCATAGATGTGCGCACAACTGGCCATATCCACCCCCGCATGTGCAAACCAAAATACTGCTTCTATGACTCCTCATCTATGCAAAATCCTCGCAGATGCGGTCATCCACAGTGCCATAACCAACACAGGTGTGGATCTGCACTTGCAAGCCAAATACCGCATGTGCGAAGAACCAGTACCAGAAATGCTTAACACACCAAAATGGTTCGGAACCACCCCGAAACACACCTGAGACCCTCGAGACCCCCTCCAATCATACCAACGAAGCCAAATACATTATCCAAACTTATCTAAAGGCTCAAAACACCACAAATAACATCAAAACCAAGAATCAAAGATCGAAATCCTTCTCTTAGCTTCCCAACATTACAACTTCATCAAACACATCCGCTTTACACTTAGACATTTTGGATCATAACCAAACTTTGCACACAAGTTACAATTAACCAAATGAACCTATCCAAGGTCTCAAAACCACAATAGGAGTCTGATAACACCAAAGTCAATTCCCTATCAAACCTATGATCTTTCAAATTCTTCAAATTACCAACTTCTAACAAATAGAGCCAATATCCCCTACAAACACCCAAATTAAAATTCAAACATTTGTCCAAGTCCAAAATCACCATACGAACCTATTAAAGCCATCAAATCCCGATTCTGAGGTTATTTACTCAAAACTTAAACCTTGGTTAACTCTTCCAATTTAAAGCTTCCAAATTGAGAATCACTCTATTAAATTAATTCTGAACCACTGAAAAATTAAAACCAACCATACACGCAAGTCACAGTATACCATATTAAGCCACTTGAAGTCTCAAATCACAGAATGAAATACTAGAACTCAAAATGACCGATCAGATCGTTACATTCTCCCTCACTTAAACATACATTCATCCTCGAATGTCCCAAAGTCATTCCAAAGTCATCCAGTCACTGTATAAAATCACCATACACATACCCACGAGTGATCCCACATAACCACAATCCATATAAGTCCATTAGCACAACCTTGACTGAAGATTCTTTCTTCAATATTAGCCCATAAACTTTAGAACCAAATTTCAATAATTGAAATTTAATATAAGATCTGAATCTTGCATATACACATTTTTTGAGTCTCAACAAGCTATATTAAGTTAACTATATTCCCAAGATATAACCACACGATGTACCGCATAGCTCATATACTCATAGCAATACCTTCCGACCACATAATCTGCCTATTACCAAACCTGGTACTGGTAATATACTTTATATCTGATATAACCTTGTTCCAAATCTTCGCAACACTGCATATAATAAAAGAAACGTTTAGTAACTCATAATCTCCCATCAAATCAACAAGTCGTGGAGCTCTCTCGTCCGATAAGAACCATTGCCAAATTCTAAGCTGACTAATGACATTCTTCTCCAAACATACCTTATCCAAATCTGATTGCACTAATTCTAGGTCTAATAACTTCATCTCACATAGTACAAGCTGCTTGAACGATAGGCCACACCAAATGCCACCTAGAGCCATACAATGCAATCCCTATACCTAACAAGCCACAATTTGAATATAACTAAAGATGGAAAGAGAACTAAATAAGAGAACTATCCAACAAGTTCAATAGATACAACCACAAATGCACAGTGCTATGATCCCATCCCACAAGGGAGAAGCAAAACACATGGGATAAGCACAAAGATTCACATTCCAACATAACTCCGTTGCGACGCGTAACCCGATCCAACATATCAATCCACATGAGGATTCTCGTTGAGTCCAAATGCTTATACTCAACAAACGCGTGTGTATCAACAGCAAGCATGCAAAGTGCATGATCATAACCATGGAGAGACAAATAGCACAACATACCACAGACAAGAGAAGCACGACCAAGATGCAATAAGCAATTCAGTATCTTAAGAGTCATCTCGCTCAAATATCGTCGCAAGGCCTAAACAGAATCACATCATGCGTGTGAAATAGTCAAATAGTCTCATAACCCATCATAGAATAAGAGAGTAACATATGAAATAGATCGGGGCATGAATAACATCCATTTCACCCGAAAACATACCCATAGTAAATGCTACACAAGAGTAAGATTACCCAATCTGATGTAGAATACACATTCTCATCTAGCCTGCCAATGGGCCCCCAGATTAGTTCCAATCATCCCAAAATAGGTAAATAGTCTTCCAAAAATCTACAGTGACTTATCCATAACACATACAATTAGCTGTCTAACCCTTAATTCACCTTCACAGTGTGCAACTAAGGAATAGTCTACCTCTGAGAACATCCAGTCTCTAAACCTTAAGAATACAACAATCTCCTCTAATTCTCCCACTCAAATGATGGATACGTCACTCATACACAATTATGTCATGAGACGTACTTTGCTAAATCCTCCTCGCCGAGTAGCAAACGTGAACATTAACAACTACCAACTATGTGATCTCTATAGTACTAGTCAAGCATCCACAAGTTAAAATACAAGGTGTCCTCTAAAGCACACACCCTACTCAGGCGATACAAAATAATGCTAACATCCTCTTAAACATTTTAAATCTCCCAAGCTATCTAGAACTCAGGACTTTCATCAAATCTCGATTCCGAGGTCATTTACTCAAAAATCAAACCTTAGTAAACTCTTCCAACTTAAATCTTCCAAATTGAGAATCACTCTATCAAATCAATTCCGAACCACTCGAAAATCAAAACTACCAACCATACACGCAAGTCATAGTACACAATATGAAGTTACTCGAAGTCTCAAATCACAGAACAAAATGCTAGTACTCAAAATGATCGGTCGAATGGTTACCATCAAGATTAAGACGGTGATGTAAGATTGCACGTATCTTATCTATCCTACTTAGATGTTTTCAATCTTTACTAGTATAAGACCAGTATAAGATTCGAATAACTGAACCCAACAAGATTTAGACATATAATAAGAAATCAACAAGCAAATTTAATCTCTGATCTCTCATTATATTTCCCACTTCATTGTTATACCATACCTTGAGTACTAAATAAAATCAAAAAAATGCATACTACTTATAAATTAACTAACTATACTCCATATGTTGCAATATATATAATATTGTTTCTTTTTAAGTATATAAACAACTTAATTTTAAAATTCTCATTTTATTTTTAACAAAAATAATTTATAGACATAAATATTAATAATTTATTTTAGATCATAATTTTTTATTTTTTTTTAAAAAAATATGAGTTTAACTTCAATCAAACAACACCATATAAATTAAAAATGAAAGTGTAGAATCTTAAGTAAAATTCTTGTCTTTGTAAATATCTTTTGTTTAGGACAAATATATCAAAGTGGCGCGACATATCATCGAACCTTCCGCTTCTTTGAAGGAACAAACAAATAAACCAGTCCAACTTCACGACTTTTCTCTCTCTGTTTCACTTCGCGTCCTTTCAAGTCCATATAGCCAGCTTTTCTTTTTCTCTTCTCTCCAAAAAAACTTAATTCACAAGCTATCTTTGTTCAATTGTAGAGCTTAGCTTAGGGTCCTGTACAGAGCGAAAAACAGAAGAAAGATGACGACGATGGGGAGCTTAATAGGTTTAGTGAACAGAATTCAGATGGCATGTACTGCTCTTGGTGATTATGGCGGCGGCGATAACTCTTTCTCTTCTCTTTGGGATGAACTTCCCTCTGTTGCCGTCGTCGGTGGTCAGGTGCCTCAATTTTCTTAAACTTTGATCAGGATATTTTAATTAAACTTCACCGTTACTAATTTTAGACTCCTCCCCTTCCACTTTACGTGACATGATTCAGAATACTAGGGTCAAATGACCTATTTGGTATGAATTCGGACATTTCAAAGAAGTATCATTAGTCGCAGTAGTTAACAATTCAAAATATTTGAAAAGTATCTTTAAAAAAAACCGTGGTTAAAGAATAGGTATTTGACTCTACACATAGTAATTGTGCCACCCAAAGTGGAATAGAGAACATAATTGATACAACTTTAGCTTTGGCACTCATTGAAGGAGTGGTATTTTTGGAGTAAAGCATCTTTACTCACCTTGTTATGTGATAAATTTCAGAGTTCAGGGAAGTCGTCTGTGTTGGAAAGTATAGTGGGACGAGATTTTCTTCCACGAGGATCAGGTAACGCCATTTTGGATCAATTCGATTTTGTTATATTATTGATGATCAGTGTTTTAGTATACCCATTAAGAAAATTAATCATAAAGGTTATTTAATTCAATTACCCTTATTTTTCCTTAAATGAGTAGAAGGGTAGCCTCACGCAATGCTATAATTTGTCTTTGTGCGACGAGGAGGTCACGGGTTCAAGCCTCTTGCAAAAATGCAAGGAAAGGTTACGTACATAGAACCCAATATGGTCCTGCATTTCCCGGACCCTAGCATAGCGATAGCTTAGTGTACTGGGCTGACCCTTTCCTTGAATGAGTAATTAATGACAATATGCCTTCTTGGATTAATAAGTGTGGCATTAAAAAATAGTTAATGCCTTCTTGGTTTTCTAGATTGACAAATATTGTGGACCAAAATTTATTGGCTGAAGTGATGGATAAAAAGGACGAATGGAATATTTTTGAGTAATCTTCTTGAAATACAGTATATGTTCCTGTTTGCATCACATTGGTGAATCAATGGTATACTCATTTATTAGTAGTTTTGCAGGGATTGTTACAAGGANCCCAAAAGAAAAGAGGAAAAATTTATAGCGTGCTTTTTAGTTTTATTTTTCTGTTTCAACTTCAAAATTGGTGAATGATGAAGTAAACAGGTAAAATCCATATATCGTACAAATTACCATCGATGATGATGTTGGTATATGTTAAGTGTCAATGTGTCGTTACTTTATCAAAAAGTGTCAATGTGTCATTATGTGATTAATGATTCAGCACCTCAGATATTGCTCTATAGTTCTTTCTTTCGCTGTTCTTTCTGTCTTACTATGTGTCTGTATGTGTATGCGAAGTGCTCTTAGTTACTGGATGCTGGTGCAAAAGATGTGATTTTTATACGTTCTTTGCTTTTACAGACCTCGTACGCAGGGAGATTCAGGATGAAACTGACAGAGTCACAGGGAAAACAAAGCAGATTTCTCCTGTTCCTATCCACTTGAGCATATATTCCCCAAATGGTATGCTCTCAGTTAATGTTTCAAATCTTTTAAGGAACTAGTTGGAACTTCCAAAAGTAACTTTATGATTATATGAGCTTTGAAAATGTTTAGTTGGAATTGCTGTTTCAGTATTTCCCGAAATTATGTTCTTGTTTCACGTTGCTTTTGGTGGTCTGACTCCCTAATAGACAAAACAATTTTCTTTCTTATACTGATATTTCTTGCTTGATGTTATGCACTGGCAGTGGTCAACTTAACACTGATTGATTTACCTGGTTTGACCAAAGTTGCTGTTGGTATGTACTGTACTTTTTCTCCTACTTATGCATATTCATATTTATCTGAGTTTCCTCAATAATACAAATTCGTTACTGCAGAGGAGCAGCCTGAGAGTGTTGTCAAAGACATTGAAGACATGGTTCAATCTTACGTTGCAAAGGTAATGACGAACTTTTTCACTTTCTGCTGTTGCTATAATATTCTTTTTACCATTGAGAAGGAAGAGTTTTCTTTTCAAGTATTGAGAAAAATACAAGATGGCACAACTAGTAGCTAATTGTCGTTGACAAACATGAACCACAGGCATTTTAGAGATTTCAGGTGCTTTTGTCTTGAAGGAAAAAAGATTTACATGTGTTTTTAACTAAAACTTTGGTCTCCATATCTGTTTCAAAAGCTAGAAGGATGTCAAAAGATGGAATGACGACTGGATTTCTTCCCGTGTTTACAATATTGAAGTCGAGGATTCCCTATTTCGTTAGCCAAATATAGAAACAGGGGTTATGAACAAGTGAAGACAGACTAAATGGATAAGCAAAAGAAAGTGGAATATTTCCAGCACCTGAAATGGAGTTAAGCAAACAATAAACTGATCTATCGAGTTGGAATCCTTCATAATTTTGTATCACAGAGCTTTCTTGGAGAGCATACATCAACAGTCCCTTCAATTCAGATAATAAAAAAGTTGTTTTTTGCCAATTGATCAAAGCCTTTCTGTACATATATATTGTCAATATCAAATTGCTAAAATATTGACATACTAATATTTCCATAAGTTGACGATAATGAGCTGGTAAACCTTTATGCTGGATTGCTGCATTTATCTTACGTTAAGTCCTAGTTGTGAATTTGGCAAATTGTCGTATCGGTATGTTCATCATTGTGAATAGTTCAAGAGCTTGTTTCACGTTTTTTGCTAGTTATTCTTGCATAGATCGTGCACATTTGGCTTACTATGGGAACTATTTTCATGCTGCTATATCTGATGGCTAAAGTGGTATCAGTTTAATCATCTGATGTTCTTAACATTTTCTTTGATATGCAGCCCAACTGCATCATACTAGCAATTTCTCCTGCGAATCAGGATATTGCCACGTCAGATGCTATAAAACTTTCAAGGGAAGTAGATCCCACAGGTATATACTCTTGGGATGTAACAACTTGGAGTTTGTAATTGTTTAACGTCTACCTTTGTGATAATCATCCTTAAAGAGTTAAATTGCGACTCATGCAGGAGAACGGACATTTGGCGTGTTGACCAAGCTTGATTTGATGGATAAAGGGACTAATGCTTTAGATGTGAGTTCTTCTATCATCTTCATGGATTATCGACAGAAGTGCACTACGTTTTGTCGTAGTTTGTTTAGTACTCTTGAAGATATTAATAACTAAATCAAAGGGTGCCTTATCTAACAAGTTAAGTTTAGATGAGATGGTTGTACAATTTAATATCATATTTGAGTAGACAAAGATCCTGAGTTCAAGTATTACCATCATCCATTTACCAAAAAGAGTTTTCACATGCTTGGCCCAAGAAAAAAGTATCAGGGCTGCATGTGAGGGGGCGTGTTGAAAAGATAATTAAATAAATAGAAGTGTATCCTATACGACAGTTTAAACTCTTAGATGAAATAGTCACTCAATTTAACAAATACTATTACGTCTTGAGTCAAACAGTTTTTTCTTTCACTGTGATCTTTACATTTTCTAAATGTTTCTAACAATAAAAATTTGTGTTTCATTGTAATTTTAGGTAGTTTGTGAATCTGTAAATGTTATTTCAAAAAGTTAAAGGAGCTAATTCACATAAGAAATTAGATGTTTTGATCCCCGTAGTCTGAAACCCACTTTCAGAGTACTAAACCCACATGATATATTTAGATGGTTATCGTTGATTGAGTTTATCTTCATACAATTCAAGTATATATAATTGGGTGAACTCGGAATAGCTTATCCTAATTGAACTGTGAACTGTTGTTGTTTCCTCTCTGTCCCCCCTGGTTCCCTCATATACTCTCTTATTTAGTTAGGATAGTCTTATCGCTTATGAAAGTATTTGAATTAGTTTTTTAATTTCTAATCTAAGGTTCTAGAAGGAAGGGCTTATCTTTTGCAATATCCTTGGGTTGGAATCGTGAATCGTTCACAAGCTGATATAAATAAAAATGTGGACATGATCTATGCGAGAAGGAAGGAGCGTGAATATTTTGCAAGCAGTCCTGACTATGGGCATCTGGCTAGTAAAATGGGTTCAGAATATCTTGCAAAACTTCTCTCGAAGGTATACTTTTAGTGCTGTCTATGGAAAAAAAGTGTCCTAAATAAATTAACATAGAGCTAACATTTGAGGTGCTTCTGTTTCAGCACTTGGAGTCTGTAATTCTAGCTAAAATACCGGGCATCACCTCAGTTATTAATAAAGGCATAGATGAACTTGAATCTGAGATGGACCACCTTGGGAGGCCTATTGCTGTTGATGCAGGGGTAAGCTTCATTTTATATTGCTGTTGTTGTTGTTGTTCGTTGAGAGACTATATACTCAGTAACTTCACTGCTCCATTTCAGGCACAATTGTATACTATCTTGGAACTTTGCCGTGCTTTTGACAAGATATTCAAAGAGCATCTGGATGGAGGGTATGTGCATCACTTATCCTTTTCCCTTACTTTGATTTGTAATCAGGTAACTTCGGTATATCTGACGAATCCAAACTTGCACTTGCCTTGGGTTTTATGGGTTAAAATTGTTCATGTAATGTAATCATGTTCTCATTCATGAAACTAGTTCAACTGTAAAGTTTGTTGTAGCATTTCTTGGCAAATACTAATAAAAGGATGTCTTCTCGGACTCGAGTCAATATTACCAAAAGAAAATAATCTGTAATTGTAAAAACGTCATCTGTATATGGCGTTTACTAGTTTATTCAGAATGTATTGTTTACCTTTAAATCAGTGTTTATTAACTTTCAATAATGGTTGGACCTTAAAAGCCCTCGTTCTAATAATGTTGTAACTTCTGTTAAAATCCTGAAACATTTACTAATTAAAATGTCAAGACAAGAATGAAAGAAATGGCGAGCTCTGTGAGTGGAGCAGTACACAACATCATTAAGATTTGTGGACACCTTCTGTCCATTATTCTGCATAGAAAACAGTTGGTATATCCTTTTAATTCACTGTTTATGTTTTTTCCTTGGTCCATCTTACTATCCCTGTTATTCTGTTTTCCCATATTTGCTTGGGCCATTCGAATTAGGCTAACATACTTTTGACTTGGTTTTAGCGTCTTTGAAAACCCAGTCCTCTAGTTAAATAAAGACTGATGAACATTTGGATTATTGGTCTGATGAAGATGAATGTAAACCCAGACAGTGTACACATACAGTTTTCGTTTGACGGTGCTGGCCCTTTCTAAAAGGGTAAAAGTGATGGTGCAGTATACTCTGTAAGAAGTTTGATTTTTCTGAATGGTTTTTCTTCCAGACTCCTCGAGAAAAGAGAAAGAAGACTTGGGCATTTCGGTCTGTCACGACCCAAAACTCAACATGTCGCGATGACGCCTATCATGGTACTAGGCAAGCCGACATCTAACACATACCACATTTTAAAATTCCAAATATACTGAAATAAATTTAATTAAGTAAGAATCTCGTAAAAACTGGATATAAACATCGTAACTTAGTACAAATTTCTCCCAAAAGATCCGGGTATCACGGAGTATATGAGCATCTACATAACAACACGGTCTAACCAATGGAACACTGTCTAGGAAAGTAGAACAGTATAAACAAGACTAAAAGATAAAGGAGGAGTCAAGGACTGCGGACGCCAAGGCAGCTACCTCGATGATCTCCGAACTGATGAACTGTCAGGAATCAGCAACCGCCGTGCCCGGAAACACCTGGATTTGCATATGAAGTGTAGGGTGTAGCGTGAGTACAACCAACTTAATAAGTAACAAGTCTAACCTGAGGTCTGAAAGCAGTGACGAGCTCACACAATACAGTAAAACACAGAGTTTAACAATACAGAAAAGTAGACATGCTTCTAGATTCAACAATTAAGTTCAGCACAGGTAAAATAGGCCAACTGTGACTGATAAGAAGAGTATGAATTTCTATATCTACATGCCAAGGTGAATACCGTATGTGATACAACACAATGAAATCCCAAGTACTCACACTCTCAGAGCACTTAATCTACCCGTCTCAATTCTCGCTCGCCACGCTCAGTCACTCAATACTGTATGATACCTGCTGCGGCGTGCAGCCCGATCCACCTATAGCCATAAGGCCCATTGCGGCGTGCAACCCGATCCCCCCCCCCATATATATATATATATATATATATGGCCATAAGGCTTGTTGCGACGTGCAACCCGATCCA